AATTATTTCCTTGGTTGCAGGACATTTGGTGAAATTGTGAGTTGCTCTTCTATATACAAAAATGATTGACTTGTTTGTCGAAATTTTGTTGGATGCAAAATGGTGCTTTTGATATCTAGTTGAAGTAACTAATTTCTTAACTCCTTCATTCTTGGGTGCTAAATAATTTGTGAAGTCAGTTCAAAAAGTGGTGTCAGTATTCTGAAGCTGAAATCAATGACTGGGTTTAACATTAAAATGCATGAGTTGTTATCTTTCCTTGACAAGTATTTCATATCTTTGACATTCCTGCAGGAGGACGCTTCTTTTGCACAGTTGTCTTCTACTCCTACATCTTCCCGTGGTGATGATTCTTCCTCCATAACTCCTCCAGAAGCTTGGGGTGGTGAGAGATTATCGGATAGATTATCTCATCTTCGGCAGTCAGGAAACATGCCTTCCCGTTTTGCTATCTCAACATCTGGTCCTCTTGCACCAGGAACTATGTTATCTGGATTACAGGATAATTTTCCTGCAACTCAGAGTATCAGCTCTTTGACTAGTTCTAGTCTAAGTTTGGCTAATTTGCGCATAAAAGAAAATTCAAATGAAGAAACTATTCTAGGATCTTCAGAACACGTGAGTTCCACATCCTTTTCAGTTGGAACAAAAGGCATTACGGGGCAGGGTACTCTTGATTCTCTTGGTTCAACTATGTCCCTCCCACGAAGATTTTCTAGTTATGCTGAGAGAATAAGCACCACGCCATCCTTTAGTGATGGAACCCTTTCTGTTGGTTCTCCAAAAACTAAGAAAACTGGAGCTGAAACAAGGGAGGAGCTTCTGAATAGCTTGTTATCTAGGTCGGACACGTCGTCTGCTACAGCAGCTGGTGCTTTCCAAGCAATGACTGTATGAATCAGGAAAACTTGGTTGTTCCTATCTTTGGCATCATTTGTTATGCATCATCATCATGGATGTTTTCACCTTTTGTGTTTTTCGAAGAGAATCTCGGAAGCATGAGCTGGTGGAAAGATCCTTAATGATGAATCATTCCAAATGACAGAATTGTCTTTTTAATAGAAAGTTTTCATTTGACCTAGTGAATTTTTTTCAGGGTGAAATTAAGCAATCACAAAAGTCCACACTGCCCGAATTGCAGCAGGGAAGTTCCTTTACACTCCAGCTGTTTCAACGTACACAAGAAGAGACTCTTTCTTCCCTTCAAAAATCCATTCATGAGGATATGAGGAATCTTCACTTAGATATTTTAAGACAATTTCATATGCAAGAGGTACATTTGTTAACTTTGCACTTTCCTAGTTGTTCAGTTGAACAGTATCTCTTAGATTTTTGCAAACATTGCGCAGATGGAAACTTCTAGTGCTATGAAATTGATACTGGAAAATCAAGCAGAGCTGATGAAAGAGGTTCAATTACTTCGAAGGGAAACACAGCAGCTTCGACAGTTATTATGACCAGAGTAGCTAGAGATCTTGTCATTACGTATTCCTTTAGTTTTAGCCATGTACCCAATGCTGTTTTAGGAGATTTGTACTGACAGTTGTGTAGTGACTAGCGAGTGCGGAAGTGTTATTGTGTGCTTATCTAAATGTGGGCGAATTTGGGGGTTTATTTTATTTTACCCTAATATAGTAAATGAGTGTGTGATGGCTGATCAATACTTGACAGTTAAAGAGTGCTGTTATGGTTGTGTACAGAAAGTTGGCTAGGCCAATTTCAGAAATTTAATGTACAGAACTACAGATCATCTGATTCAAAAAAATATCCTTCCAAGTCGGAGCGCGTCTCATCTTTGTTTATTCATATTTTGTGATGTTCATGGGCTACTTCTCAATATTAGATTATTGGAAAAATTGTATGAAATAACAAACTATTAATTAGGGAAGTTCCTTTACACTCCAGCTGTTTCAACGTACACAAGAAGAGACTCTTTCTTCCCTTCAAAAATCCATTCATGAGGATATGAGGAATCTTCACTTAGATATTTTAAGACAATTTCATATGCAAGAGGTACATTTGTTAACTTTGCACTTTCCTAGTTGTTCAGTTGAACAGTATCTCTTAGATTTTTGCAAACATTGCGCAGATGGAAACTTCTAGTGCTATGAAATTGATACTGGAAAATCAAGCAGAGCTGATGAAAGAGGTTCAATTACTTCGAAGGGAAACACAGCAGCTTCGACAGTTATTATGACCAGAGTAGCTAGAGATCTTGTCATTACGTATTCCTTTAGTTTTAGCCATGTACCCAATGCTGTTTTAGGAGATTTGTACTGACAGTTGTGTAGTGACTAGCGAGTGCGGAAGTGTTATTGTGTGCTTATCTAAATGTGGGCGAATTTGGGGGTTTATTTTATTTTACCCTAATATAGTAAATGAGTGTGTGATGGCTGATCAATACTTGACAGTTAAAGAGTGCTGTTATGGTTGTGTACAGAAAGTTGGCTAGGCCAATTTCAGAAATTTAATGTACAGAACTACAGATCATCTGATTCAAAAAAATATCCTTCCAAGTCGGAGCGCGTCTCATCTTTGTTTATTCATATTTTGTGATGTTCATGGGCTACTTCTCAATATTAGATTATTGGAAAAATTGTATGAAATAACAAACTATTAATTCAAATTAAATGTTATAGCCATAGTTTATTTTAATTGTAATTCGCAGCAAACATCCCTTTTTTTTTTTGCCATCTGATTCGATATACAATTAGCCATTTTCGGTATACAATTAGTCATTTTATACATTTCAGTATAAAATGCGCTTTTGTTTGTATAAAGCGAGAGAAAAATGTATATACAAATGCAAATATATATATTTTCGTCCTATACATTTATAATTATACAAATACATATCTTATTATACAAATTATAATGTATAAATAAATTTATACAAAACTGAACAATTTGTATAAAATTGAATGTTTGTAGCGAATATACAAATCAAAAGCTCCATAGCAAACAAAAAATTTACTATGAAGCGCAATTATGCAAACTATAACTATAACATACAAATATGATTTTTATGTTTGCTATATGTAAAAGTTGCTCTAGATTATTCCAACTGTCAATTTTCAAAAATAACAGTACATTATAGTGTTCTAATTACGTAGTACTACTTGGTTTGAGAAAATATTCGATTGATGTTGATAAAAATGAGCAGCTAAGGGAGTCCTATCAACTTGTTCTGATCTAGGATCATAAACTCATCAGTTTGGTCTTACTTCACCGTCAAGAAATGATATTAGAACATAGCACAATTTATATTGTTCATCTACTCTATCTCTTTAGAAGATACCATAGTTTTTACGATTATTCGTTTATTAGGTGGAACTTGGAGGTTACCGTGAAGTAGCAGCCATGGTGCTTAAAACTAGACTCTCCTTCCTTTTTATTACTTCATTGTACAACTTAGCAAAATGGTCTGGTGAACCCTTGTACTTGTATGAGTTTGTATTGTGAACCCTTTTACTTACCCCTTTGTCATTTGGACCCCTGAACTCATCTAAACTCAACATTTTAAACACCTTTTTTATCCTTTAATTGTGCGTGTACCACAAATGCCTGACACGTAATTTTAAAAATAATTATAAAATGACACGTGTATATATATACCACTTCATGTCATCTTGACATTTTTATTATATTTAATTAATATATTTCTGATTTTATTTGCCTTTTGCCACCAAACCCACCACTTTCCCCACAATCTCATTTTATTTCTCTTTCATCTTCCTTACACTTTTTTTTTCAACCTCTTTTGCTCTTTTCATTGAAGAAAAAACACCAGCATCAATCAAGGCAATCCGTCTTTGTTTTCATCCAAATCGAAGAAGAGAGATTCACCGCTTGAGTGTACAGTGTGTCAATGTCGTCCCAGACTAGTATCTGTGTGTGGTTATATATACCCACATTTTTTCTTTCTCATTTTTTTCTTCATTCCCACAAAATTGTTTGAGTATTTTTGTTGATTTTGTTCGATTTTTAATTTATCTATGTAAATTTTGTAACTTATTTTTGGATTTGTATGTTGTTTAGTCTAGATTTCATCTTCTATTTATGTCTTTGTTTAATTTTTAGGTTTTTAGTCGATTATACTAATTTTTTGAATTCTTTTGGGGATTCTATTTGTTATGCTTTCAATTACATGTTTCATGATTTCTATTAGATTATAATTCTAACAAAAGCAACTTTCATGATGATGTAGAAAACTAAAATAGGATCAACCACAAAATGAAGCAAAGAATTAACTGGAAATGCATAGAAATAAAAGGGGAATATAATGATGAAAAAAAATGGAGAAGAAATTTAGAGAAAGAAGATAAAAAAAGAGGCAAGAAAAAGCTCAAATTTGTCTAATAATGGTGTTAAATGCAAATGGGGAAGAAGATGGCTTTATAAAACTCTAATGTGGCTATTAGACCTTTTTAACCAGATTTCACGCTCCTCACACACACCTCTTGGTTGTGTCTGCCACATAGGATGCCAAGTCAGAAAACGTATTTAAAATGTAGTGTTTCGAGGAGTTCAAGGGTTCAGTTGACAAATGATTAAATAAAAGGGTTTAGAATACAAACACTACAAGTACAAGAATCCACCCGACCCTTTTGCCTAACTTAAATTTGATATAATTTTCTTCATTCTTGTGGTAAATCATACTGAAAAACATGGGAAACAAGGTTTGCTAAATGTTCCAGGGTGCTCGTAGAAAATGAATTAAGAAGAGGAAGTAAATAAACTTGAAATATGTAAGAGCTTTGGAATCCATAAAACTCTTCAACAAAAGCGTGAAGCATCATCATCATCACAACACAAGAAGAGCAATACACCACAATTGAGGATTCACTTAGACGAATCAGAATGCAAGCCAGTACATGTTCGAGAAATCCTTGTTAAGCATGCGCAAAGTGATTTGACTTGATAATTACTAACAAACATGAAAATTGGAAATGCAATCTCATCATCAAGCAACAACCTCCTGCTGCAAGTGCAACCAGAACTAGCTGATAAAAGCATATTGAATAGAGCGCTGGCTAACTCTGTATAAAATTCACCAACATTTCTGTTTTATCTTGCCAAAGACTAGGATCTCATAGTACATTAACTTTATCAATGATATAGCAAAAATAACTAAAAGACTTCATAATCATTGGCAGACATTACGATGTAGCCAAATTAAATTACCCCTACTAAAACATAAACATCAATCAAAACTTATGCGAACCTACGCCTCAATGAATTTCTTCAGATTCTTAAGCCACATCTTGTATTCTCTGCCGTCCTTGTTGATCATGTACTCATGCAAGAAGTTGGTTGTGCTGGGCTTGATACCCCTAATCTCCAGATACTTGTGGAAAGCCTTTTGGAGGTTCTCATCCAAATCCCTGATGATGATTGAGAAGCAGATATATTCTATTAGTATAATGAAAACAGATAAGAAATTCGTTAAATTAAACTTTGAAGACTCACGTGAAATCAGGTCCTTCATAAGCAATCTGATCCTCAGCAACATTAGGATCTTTGATTGACAAAGTGTCAATAGCAATCTCATCAGCAAAAGATGTGATACCAAACTCCAAAGATGGCCCATTCTTCTTAGACACCCTAACAACTAGAGGAATTTGGGACTGATTGGCCCCTTCGTTATCAGGGTGGTCACGATCGTTGTCATTCTCATCTTCATCACCAGTAACAAGGTCGGGCATGTGAACTTCGACATTAATAGATTCACCTTGATACTCTCTTGTCAATGTTATAGTTTGTTGTCCAGGATGATCTTCAATCTCGAAGGGGAAACCCTCAGGAGCCTCGTCAACCTGCAACCACAATGAAAAAACAATGATAACAGTACTAAATTTGCTAATCCAGTAACATTTTTTTTTGGGTAAAACTAAAAACAGCATGATTTTTCCCCATAAGATCCACTAAAAACAGAAACAAATCAGCAGCACAATCCAAAAATTACACGATTTTAACTAAAATTAAAATTCATTTGCCACACATATATAGGAAAAAGGAGAAATGGGGAAAATCAAACCTCGTCTTGTACGTCGGATTCCTCAACACATTGGATTTCGGACTGAAGGACTTTGAGGAGTGATTCATCAGAACTGGGCCTCTTGGTAGAATAGAAATGAAGGGTGGACGGTGCTGAGCTCCGAAAGAAGTTTCTAGAAGCAGCACTACGGTTAACTACGGTGGATAAGAGAGCAGAGGATCGATGATGGTAGCTCTGTGTTCTACAGATCACCCGAGCAGCCAAGGGTACAGTCCTTCTGATGATGTTAGTGACAGCCATTTTCGCAGAGGTAGATAATTTAGGGTTTAAGGAGAAGAGGAGGCTTGGGTTTAGGGTTTACGCTACAGGTTATTAATAGGAGAGTTCTCGACTTGTTTTCGGAAATTTACAACTTCAAGTTGGGGTAGAATGGGAAGTGCAATAGCAATATGGGTAAACATGAAAGAAAACACATTTTTCTCTTTTCAGTTATTTTGTTGATCAAATATAACTTTAATTTCATTTAAAATTTATTAAAATAATTGTCTACCACTTATATATTTATTATTATTTATTTTAATATATATAAGTGAGAATAAACTACTTACTACTCTCTTCCTTCATTTTTACTTGTTTATTTTTAACTTGACACACCTATTAAAAAAAAATAAAAAAATATAGTGAATTTACCATTTTAATCCTATTAATTGATCGAGTCACAAATATATTTACTTACTACATTTTTTAATAATATTAACTTAATGTTAATAAATTGAGAGTATAATAGAAAAAAAAATTACATTTTTTTTATTTGTCAAAAATGACAAATAAAAGATGAAAAATATATTAAGAAATATTTCACAAGTAAATAGTAACGGAGAGAGTAAACAAACAAGCAATTGATGGAAGAGTAAGCAACATAAGCAGTCATATTCACCATTAGCTCAAACAACATAAGCATACATATTGATCATGAGTTGTCTGCTTGTCCACACTTATATATATTACTAGATATGAGACCCCGTGCCAGCACGGGGCCCA